CGACACACACACACACATATATATATATATACATACATACATACATATTATTATATATATATATATATATATATATACATATACATATATTATAGACCGATTCATATTTTGTCTACTATATTGATATGTATTTATAAATAGTAAATATGCTCATTACGTATGTTTGTGTATATTGACATAGATTTGAATACGAAGGTATATGCAACTTTTACGATACTCACCCACAAATTAAACCTTTGGCAATGGCCATAGTTCACACAGAAGAATGTAGCAGTTGTGATACTTACTAGTCCATTGTTTGCTTCATTGACTGCATCTTCGAAGCGCTTTTTTTCCTCCTGTTTGATTTCACGATGTTCCGTATACTGTGTTGATTTTTCGTATACGACAGTTTTCCTCAGATGGCTTGGGCTTGGGTGTCTGGTTTGGTATGGATGCGGAACAAAACCATGCTCTCGCATAGTCGAAAGAAATCTTCGCTCGATTTCACTTAAACCAACAATCCGGATCGTACCAACTATGTATCTCTCCACGCCAGCCTTACTATTATTTCTAAATTCATAGTCGGATTCGGATTTGATCGGGTTGTTCTTCACCATCACTTCCCCATGGATAACACCCGGCAGCCACACTACTAAAGAATTGAGAGGAGGCACCATCACTTTCCCCTTATTTGCAGAATGCTTAAATTCTTCTTTTGGGTTGTCTATCTTAACAAACCCTTTCTTGTTCTTATTAGTTTTAGTGTGACTACCCTTGAGAAAACACAGCCGCACATTGCCCTCGTTTGGGCCAATCACCATCGCTTGCATTCTCTTCAGCTCATCATCGTAGAGATCGTAGTGGGGTATGCTCAAGTCACCTCTATATACCTTGCATGAGTCGATCGCAATAGTAGTATTCTCGTCTTCATCTGAGAGGGCAAGCAGCTGTCTTTTGGCATTTGTATTTGATTCATGGTTGATGAGAATTCTATTAGCCTTGTCTGAGCACAGAGTTTGGAAGATCACATCGTGGCCACCCACTTTTGCAACCAAACTATCCGCCTTCTTTTCCGGCTGCATGTACATGAAACCAAACGATTTGTTCCCTATAACTCCTGTGGGCCAGGCATTTTTGTTCGCTGCTAACTCAAATATCGACCTCCCCTTGGCCCAATCCTGAACTCCTTCCTTGAGATATGGCAGTACTTCAATGTCATAGGCATCCCTTAAAGCCAACCTGGCTTGTTCAAAGGACTCCGGTGAGCAAGCATTCTCGATAATCAGCACACCATCTCGATGGAGAATAGTCCTCTGATCCGCCATTTTATGAAACACAAGTTATTGTGTGGTCGATGTGCCTGCAGTTGCTCTCCCGCGGAGAATTTTAATAGTAGCTTCTTTATCTGTGATTTTCGGAAGCAAGCACATTTGACGATTCCATTGCTTGATAATTGTTCAAAATACTTTATGCGCCGGGGCTCATATCGCTTGTCCCACCGGCCCCTTTGCCTCCCACAAATATACATTCACCTATCGTTCTATTCACATATGTAAGTTGAGGTATGCAGCCAACACACTGTCAATATGCCCAAGGACGTACAGAAAACAGGTTTCTCGTGTGTTCTTGGATTGCAGCATCTATGACGAGTTGGCCACGCAACCGCCATTTACATCATTGTATGTGATGGATATGCAAGAGTTTAAAAATGGCGATTGGTACACCCTGAAATTGGCAATCCGACCACGAGAAATAGAGAAAAGATACAAAAGTATGCTTAATATGTTAAAGAAACGATAAATATGGCAAGTGTGCAGGGTTCACAATGGTTGTTGCGTCTATTCCAAATTCAAATGGGATAAATCATACCGATCTGATAGTTTAGGATCCAGCTTTCAAGAACATGCAGAATTCAGATCGGAGGTATCGCTTGTGGCACTCTGCAATGGTATATATCTATGCATCTGATTGTAAGCCTCTGTCGCTGATTTTGGGCAAAAGACTATTCAGAGAGATATATATATATATATATATATATATATATATATATATATATATATATATATGTGTGTGTGTGTGTGTGTGTGTGGAGGNGAGAGAGAGAGAGAGAGAGAGAGAGAGAGAGAGAGAGAGAGAGAGAGAG